ATTCACAAATTCTGAATGAAAAATTTTGTATCGAAATTGATCTTAAATTGCCAAAATGCTGTATGTCTCCAAATTTAGAGCCGTTTAATAAAAGAATTCACATCCCCAAAAGGAAAAAGTTGTTTAAAAGCTCTTTAGTAGGGAAAAAAAAAAAAAATTCAAAATGCTTATGTTTCACTTCTTGCCCAGAAACTCAAGTATCGCACCATTTATATTAGAAATATAAAAAAAATCAAATAATAACCCATGAAATGCATATTTGTCATTGCCAAAAATATTCCTCCAAAAAACCTAAGGACTTTTAAGAACCATACAAACCTTGTTAACAGCATGTTTAAAAAGATAAGTAATCCTTTAAAATACGAGGGTAAGTTGAAAAATAAGTTTCCCCTGTCGACTGTGGTCAGAGTTGTGTATGAAAGTCAAAAAATAGAATGAGACATTAAAGATATGACATACCTTTATTTTTCCACATAGGTAGCAAGTACATTGAGACATTTGTCATATCGCTTGATAAGCTTCAAAAAGCCCTCCAGGAAAAAATCAGGGCTTTGCATATGGAAGAAGTGTTGAACGGCTATGGGCGAAAGGCGACACAGCAGGAAAATGCGCAAGTCACCGATACACCATTGGGTAGAGGTCGCTGCAAATCAAGCAGATGGCGCTGTTGCAGTGCCTGCGCAAAGCGGATACCAGCCTCTCATTTGAGCCCCGGTAGGTATGGAGAGAAGGTGCGTTTTGAATTCGTGGTCAAAGGAGGAAGTGAGAGCAGTTATCTGCTATGAATGGGCACGTTTCTTCCATATGCAAAGTCCTGATTTTTTCCTGGAGGGCTTTGTGAAGCTTATCAAGCGATATGACAAATGTCTCAATGTACTTGGTACTTATGTGGAAAAATAAAGGTATGTCATATCTTTAATGTCTCATTCTATTTTTTGACTTTCATGCACAACTCTGACCATAGTCAACAGGGGAAACTCATTTTTTCAACTTACCTACGTAGCTATTAAAAGGTGCACAAGCAAAATAATAATAATAATAAATAAATAAAAATATTCACAAATTTTTAATTCTCTTCCAATCGTTTCAAATTTACTGACCAGGCAGTCATTTGTTTAAAGTAATGTAACTATAAAACAGTTTACTCTTTAGAAAGAAAGATTTTTATTTAAAATCAGAATGCAGTGGTTAAATCATAGTTACTGAATTTACAATACATATGTACTTTGGAGGACATACTCAAAAATTTTTAGGAGAATGACATGAGAGCTCGTACTCATCAAAACACTAACAAAATTGCTACATTTTCAAGCATGCTACTGGTTAATTTCTGAGAATAGTACAAAACATGGTGTTTAACACATTAGCCACCACTGGGGCCACCAATGACTCAAATTACATTATTTCAGTAGCACTGTGGGGGATCAAAGGTTATTGGCAAAGTAGACTAATCTTTGAACTAGCGTTTATTTTACTATATAAAGTGATCATCATGCCTCTTCTGCATATTGTTGCAATTTGGCCAAGCATATTATTAAGAAACATAATACATGCTCCTTTGCGGAAGAATGTGTGTAAAAAAATAACTCAATAGATATAAATGCGATTTTACGAATAAGAAAATATAAAATATCAAGATTACCACACATCAAACATACAAAAAGCAAATCAATTATGCTGTGTTTTATTAAAACAGAATAAACAATGTGTCCCAAAAGGACAGAATAACCCTGAAAACCAATAGTCATTTTTCAACCAATATATATAAAATTCTATGGCAATCAATATGTTTGACAATCCTCTCTTCGCTTTAGCTACGAAATAAATGTAGAATACATTCTTTGTTTTATTTTCTAAATTACGAGGGTTGGAACTTTAATAGTGGCAACACAGCTGAAAAAACGCTACGCAACAAAACCAAAGAACATCGCGTATATCACACATGAACTACATACCTACCTTACCCCTCAGCAAAAAGACTCGTCCTGCCTACATCATGCGCATGCGGCGTGACGCGAAGAATGGATCCTTGTATTAGCTCGCGGTCTAAAGTAAGTGTTGTCAGGATGTTTTCAAAACAAGAACAATGATGTTGGATAAAAATTGAATGTGCCAGAGGTCGTACAGCACGACAATGTCATCAAGGGCTTCAAGAGGCTTGCGGGGAATCTGCATTGCCTTACAGAACCGTAGCAAGATGGGTGAAAGCATTCAATGAAGGACGCCAAAATGTGGCAGACATGCTGCAGCCGGGTCGTCCGAGTGTCAGCGATGCAGACGTGCAAGCTGTTGCTGCACTAATGCACAGTGATCGTCACCAAATGATTCGTCAGCTGGCCGGATAAACAGGATTAGTGCATACGACTGTGCTGCACATTCTGAAGGAACGCCTGTCCATGAGAAAAATTGCTTCACGATAGGTTCCACATCAATTGACGGAAATGCAGAAATGGCTATGATATGATGCTGCCCGAACCCACCTGGAGCGCTATGAGCGCGAAGGAGATGCTTTTTTACGCCGTATCATTTCGCTGGATGAGACTTGGGCCTGATCGTACCAGCCAGAGCTGAAACGCCAATCAAACGAATGGCGTCATCACGGGTCACCACGACGTTCGAAATTTCGTCAGAACCCCAGCAATGTGAAAGTTATGGTGATTCTCGTGTACGACTGAGATGGCGTGATCCTAATGCACACCGCTCCCTCACAGCAAACCGTCACTGCACAGTATTACTGCTCATTTTTGGAGTACAATCTCCGACCAGCTTTGAGAAAAAAACGGCGACACTTTCTGCAGAATGCTCCTCTCATTTTGCATGACAATGCTCGGCCGCATGCAGCGCAAGCTGTGATTTTCAAGCGATGGGGCTGGGAAGTACTTTACCATCCACCATACTCCCCAGATCTAAGCCCTTGTGACTATGACTTAATTCCTAAAATGAAGGAACCACTTCGTGGCACTCGCTTCCAAACTGTTCCTGAGATTCTTGCGGCAGTAGACCAGTCCATTCAAACTATCAACAAAACAGGCGCTGCTACAGGTATTCTGCGACTTCCACATCGTTGGAAACGGGTTGTACACAATGCTGGCGACTATACTGAAGCACTGTAAAACATGGTGACATGAATCACTTTTGTATTCCTTGTAAATAAACAGTTGCCACTATTAAAGTTCCAACCCTCGTATTTATTCAGCTATATACACAGAATATAATACACAAACACTACCATACTGCATTTCCAAAGGTTTTCATAAGTAAGCTTGTTTATTTAGAATTCCTAGCTAAATATTAACTTTTCTTATAATCACAATATATGCAAAAACAGAATTTGAAGAGAATCCATATCCTATATTTGCAGACACATACAAATACACATATAGAGTACTTGAATTGATTTTTAAGACTCTTACTAAATAAAATTCAACTTTGAATTTACATGATCTAATGTGATGAATTAATTATTGCATTAAACCTCTAAGTAAGTTTATGCATTTAGAACAAAATATGAAATAATAATTATAAACATCATAAAAATTCAATATACCTTACAGAGTTATTTTAAAGCAAATGAAAAAAAGAGTTACATTTCTAAAAATAATATAAAGTAAGTACAGATTTAAAGATAATGTAACAGAAATTATATTTCTTTAAAAAACTGCATAGCTCACTAGCAAATGGAGAGAATTTTTAACTGATAAAATTTTGTCAAAAATGAGATGTGTAAAATAATTTCTACAGGAAAAGCAAAAGATTACAATAACTTCTTATTTACTCTTTTAAGAAAGGTAGTTTTTGTTTATTGATTACTGTTCAAAGCATAAGTTCTATTTTGCTACTCCATTACATTCCCCCCCCCCAACTTCCCATCATTTTCCATGAACCCTGCATTTCACAATCAATTATTGAGTTTTTTACACTTTGCAGAACTACTTTCATATAAAAACAATCACCTTAAAATACCAGATCATCAATAATTGATTGAGTAGCACTGCATACCTGAAACCTGGCCTTGAAAACTAAGATAATATCATTCATAGCTTAAGACAGCATTTAAAAAATATTTTCATTCAGTTAAATGGAATGTTCTTAAAAATAAAACATACATATATTTTGAAAAATGCTTTAGCTTAAATAATCCAAAATATACACATCAAAACTGGAAGAAACAAAGGGAAAAAATTTGAAAATTAGGGCAACTGAGATATTGCCATGAGAAGCTGAATGTTAAAGTACATTAACATCTAAACAAATGCACAGTTTAAACAAAATAAACTGTTCAAATATATGAACTGAAACTTCAAAAGTTTCCAGTTTCTTTGTACAAAAACTAATGCACAGCAATCGAAAATTAAAACATACCAAAAAAGAACAATAATGTCCCCCTTAGAAACTGCATAAATATTCCCTTATAAATGTGTTACATAAATTATTTTTACAATTCAAAATGTCTAAATTTTTTTTTTTTAATTCCTGATTAATTTTTAAAGTGATGTTTAAAGTTAAAAGTGAAAAATTATTAAAAAAATGTTTACTAAACACCTATCCATTTAATGAAGCTGTATATTATTCAGAATACATAACAAACATGTTATCACTATTAAGATTAAATTACAAAAATAATAAACTGTAATGTATAACAAAAAAATTAAAAACTTTAAATTGGTAAACCATGATTAATAAAGTAAAGAAATTAGAATACCACATTAAAAACACGTAACAAGTTAATGCCCTTAAAGCATTTCAATTTCTAATCAGTCAGATAATTTTACTCCTCTTATTATGGCTTCACAAGCAAAGAAGAGTAATTCCCATCAGGAAAATTTGTTTTCGTAAATACGGAGCTCTAACCACCCTTTCCACACATGGTAAGTGAATAAAATGCAAAATCATTCAAATCAACGCGGGAGTATATTACTAGCCGGGAAATTCGAAAGGCGCTACTTATTGCTGTGAGTTCAGGGTATGTTGACAAAGCAATAACATATGCGAAATCTTACTTTGGAAATCGTCTGTTTGGCATCTCCGACCTGCACGTCCGCCATAGTTTTTTGATACAAGCCAAGCCAACGTGAAAATCCTGACAAGCACGCCTATTGGCTAGAACTGATAAAGACTACCGCCCAAAAGGTTCGGCCCCACTCTTCAGCTGATACGAAAAGGGGCAAAGTGGTGTATGTTCTTTAGGAGCATTGGAGCACCTTTTGTCTGGACGCAGCTCTTACATTATCACGTGAGAAAGGGGTAGGGCTGATGACGAGACAATTCAGAAAAGGGGTAAATTTAACATAATGTTAAATATATATATATATATATATTTTCTATGAGGAACTAAAAAGTAGTTCCCTTAAATCTCAAAATTTTTTTGTTAAGTCCATTTAAAATATTTGAATTACATTTTTTCATTTTTAAAACAAGAGTAAAAATAATTTACCTCTCGTACGACAGAAAATGTTATTTCGAATATACACGACATCTCTTCCACAGGAATTTCTAAGCTTTCATAACATTTTATTTATATATGATATATCTATGGAATTTAGAATACCGTAAAATCAGTATTTCTAAATTTTAAAAAATGAAAGAGTATCATACGTATAAATAACATTATAATAAAACATAAAACTAAAAAATGTGTAGCACAAATTAAGAAAATCGCGTCTTCCTTAAAATAATAATTGTCATACGTGCTCCGACTGTCAAGGTATAATACTAAGTATATTAGATATCGGGGGTTACTTGAAATAAGAAATATTTCGCATTTTATCTGCAGTAACTTCCTTAAATTAAATAATCATAAGTATGATTTCGCTTACTATGAAATAGTTTCTTGCCATTAAATAAATGGAAATAGAAATTATACATTATCAAAAACAGTTTGATTTTCATCAATATAAGAAATCAACGACAAAGCTTATAAATATTTTTAAAAAAATGTTTATGAATAAATACAAGAAGGAAACATTTAAAAACGCTATGAATGCTGCTTAGATAATGCACCCGCTCCGAAAATCTAAATTCCCCTTTCCCTTTATCGCTCCTTCCACGTCATCATGAATAAAATTCACTACCGGACAAAGTATAAACGAATGGGTGGTGTATTTAATTATGGCAAAGCACACTAGGGCTATCTGCCTAAGGGGAGGGATGCCTTCGTGGAGGACTTTCTAAAGAAAACTGGCTCGTATACGCGTTACACATGGGGAAAACCACGAAAACACCCATGCAGCCAGCCCGTTGGCGGGATTCGAACCTCGGACCAAACTACCAGTGTTCAGCGACTTTACCGCTCGGCCGCTGGTCGGCCTATAAACTAGTGATGAGTCGGTACTACCGAACCGGGTATTTTGTGACGGGTACTGAAAATCGGTACATCCAAGTACCCGTTACTTCAGTACCGAAATCGGTACTTTTCGGTATTCGTTACTTCTGTACCGAAACGGGTACTTTTCGGTATTCGTTACTTCTTTACCGAAACGGGTACTTTTCGATATTCGTTACTTCTGTACCGAAACGGGTGCTTTTCGGTATTGGCTACTTTGTAACGAAAATATGCGTCTCTTCTCGGTATTTCGGTATTCGTTACTGGAGGATCGATGAGGATTCAGCTCATTTAGGTTTTGGTACGAGGACAGTAGTATCTGGTTGTATTTGCGAAATGGTGATATGCGCTCCTTGTGTCCATGAATGACCTTGAATTAGGGCATGGAATGGCAAACGTGAAAGGGGGAAACTTCATTAGAGTTTGAGGTAGTATAATTAATTGCCTTTGTGTGCGCGGGAGGACGAGTGTGAAATAGTGGAAATTTTTCGAAAGGCCGTTCGTTGTGTGTGTGGGGGGGGAATAGTAGCATTTGGAGTCACTGTCGCCGGCATTGCTCGCTTGTGATTGGATTCGGCATAGTCAGGAGGGAAAGGGAGGGGAGCGCTAGATGATTTTGCTATCCGAATTGTGCATGTTTTGATTTTTCATCGTTTGTAGATTTTTCATCGTTTCATCGTTTGGAGAAAAAACTGCGTGGATCTGAAATGATTGATTTGGGTAAATTGCTGTTGTTGGATTGGATGAATGGAATCAACTACCAACTAGGTTACTTCCCTTTCCTCAACATATTTTTAACATAAATCATGAAAAATATTTGGTAAGTTGCTGTTGTTGGATTGATGAATGGAATCAACTACCAACTAGATTACTTCCTTTTCCTCAACATATTTTTAGCATAAATTCATGAAAAATATTTTTCGTTTGCTTGTTTAATAGGGCAACGTAAATCATATGATCCTTTTTGAATAAATATGATCCTTTTTTTATCCCGCTGTACCTACTTCAGAAAAATGTCACAGCATCTAGTGGATCACCATGCCAATTAACATAAAATACAGATGCAATTTTAAACTTTTCTAATGAAAGAACAAAGATTACTGACCCACTTATGATAATTCTTCTGATAATTCTTCCCCCTTCTAAAAACAGATTTTTACCTCGCCAAAAACTAAACCCAGGTCACGTGTCTAACGCAGGATTGTCAACGCCTGCTTTACCCCCCCAGGACGTGATGACGCTCCTCCGATAGGAAGAGAAGTAAACTTTGACCTGGCAGTCCGAATCTTCTTTTTCCTTCTGTTTTTTTTTTTTTTAACTCCCTCTGGAGCTTATGGAGGGTAGGAAGTATCAGAATGGAGTCGCCCTAAACAAGTTTCTCCGTACCCTGCTCTGAAGCACCGGCGATCCCTACGTGGTGACCAAAACATTGGGTCATTTACCATTGGGTTCTATGGGATTTGACGCGTTCGGGTGTAAATATTTTGTAATTACGTCGCAAATATACATATAAATGTATATATTTTCTTTTTCTACAACACTTCAGAGTCCTAAGTATGTGAAAACAACATATTTTTAAACAACATTTCATTCTGAACGGAATTAAATGCTATACTTTTCAAAGGACAGTTTTCTCAGAATGGTTTAATTTGAATGAAATATTTTCACAAGTTTTCGTTAGTTCCATTAGAAAAAAAAAATTCAGGTAATTGATTTTATTCGTTTAAGGTACAAAAATTAAGATCAAAGTTTATTGTATTATTAATATTAAAATTATGCATTATTTCTTTTCTATTTATAGAGCTTCTTCCTAAAATACTTTCTTAAATATGACATGATTTTTTGGCTTCTTTTAAATCGAAAAATGTAAGTCAATTTATAATTAATGCTCTATTCGGTTCATTTTAAATTAGAGAATTATTAGGAATTAGCGAAATACTTTAGATAAGTATTTCGCTAATTCCTAATAATTAAATAATATTTGACTTTCTCTGAACATTTCTGAAAGGGAATAAAACAAGTTTTTTTTTTAAGTATTATTTAAAACTTGTAACTGAGTTATTATAAAATGTAAAGGGAATAATTCTTTTAATTATGCTTATCAGATTTTTTTTTTTACCCTTCATTTCAACAATACATATTCCAAAACTCTTTATTATGTTCTTAAGTGCACATCTCATAGCATTTGCTTTACAATACCTTTTAACAGATTGCTTTCCAGTACGAACAATTCTTGCTTAAATAGTTTTATAACGTATTTGGCAACAGGATTTCAATTTATGTTTACAATTCAATATTAAGGTTATTATATATTTAGATAACATTTATAATCATTATAAATAGTATTTGACTTTCTCTGAACATTTCTGAAAGGGAATAAAACAAGTTTTTTTTAAGTATTATTTAAAACTTGTAACTGAGTTATTATAAAATGTAAAGGGAATAATTCTTTTAATTATACTTATCAGATTTTTTTTTTTACCCTTCATTTCAACAATACATATTCCAAAACTCTTTATTACGTTCTTAAGTGCGCATCTCATAGCATTTGCTTTACAATACCTTTTAACAGATTGCTTTCCAGTACGAACAATTCTTGCTTAAATAGTTTTATAACGTATTTGGCAACAGGATTTCAATTTATGTTTACAATTCAATATTAAGGTTATTATATATTTAGATAACATTTATAATCATTATAAATTAGATACATTTAATCATTAGATTTCTTCACAGTACTTTCACAGTTGTTTATAAGTGAATAAATTCTTCGTTTCAAATACATTTATAAATAATTTAATGAATATTGAAGTATTTTGTCAAAGGCAGATACATGCTTTTTGCAAGCACATGCATAAATACCCATACATATTTCCTATTTATCATTTCCGGCATGTGCAAATCTTTAATTTCTGTGCATTCACTGTATTTTTCGTGTAAAGTAATTTACACTAATTTAGCATACACCCGAAAGTTTTACATAAAAAATATATATGAATATAATTTGAATGAAAATTATAAGCATTATTTTTAATACCCACTCAAAGGTCAGTTTTTTCTTCAAAATTCCTCCACGATGGCATCTCTATCTTTAGGCAGATAGCCCTTGCATGCGTTACTCTATTTAATAAAAACTTAATCTGACCTATGTGCCTAATTACAAATATTTTAACATACATAATTTTATATTTACATTTAGCCATCAAGTTTCAAACTTTTCAAATCTTCTAGAAAATAAATTTTGGCAGTTTTCTCATAGCAATTTTCTTAAAATCTATATTTTTGTAGTGCAACAGCTTAGAATTTTATAAAACAAATTCATAATCAAAATCGCTGTTGTTAGTTACCGAAAAATAACCAAGATGGGATTTTGCGTAAATGTCAGTAAACTATACAAATTGCTATTATCCATTACACTATGAATGTTTCTTTCATGCGAGAGTGTTCCTTTTTCGATTTCTATGGAACTGTCCTGTGTCGAAATACTATCAGAATCTTGTCAAGCGAGCTTCTGAATGTAAACAAAAAACACCCCGTCTGGTGACCCAAGCTTCAAAGCAGTGCTTCACTTCTAGAGCGAAATGGCCCCTCCTCCCTTTCCTACCTCCATGCTCTGGAGCTTATTTGAGGGGGGGGGGAACTATCGAATGGAACACCGGAAATTATCCGGACATGTTTATGTAAACATACATGTCCCTCCCTTTTTTCCTTTGCATTTTTTTTGCTCTTTCATGCCTGATTAATAGAATCATTACGCGATATTGCACTTACCCTTTTCACAGCGTAGTGCTGATTTTAGAATTTGCAGCTGGA